CCCCTTTTATGGCTGTTAGCATTTGCCTTATGTATTGAAGTGCTATGTTGGGTGCATAAATATTTACAACTTACGGATTGATCCATTGATCATTATGTAGTGTCCTTCTTTGTCTCTTGTAATAGTGTTTATTTTAAAGTCTATTTTGTCTTATATGAGAATTGCTACTCCACCTTTCTTTTGAGTTCCATTTACATGGAATATCTTTTCCATTCCCTCACTTTCAGTCTGTATGTATCCCTAGGTCTGAAGTGGGTCTCTTGTAGACAGCGTATATACGGGTCTTGTTTTTGTATCCATTCAGTCAGTCTATGTCTTTTGGTGGGAGCATTTAATCCATTTACATTTAAGGTAATTATTGATATCTATGTTCCTATTACCATATTCTTAATTGTTTTGGGTTTGTTTTTGTAGGTCTTTTCCCTCTCTTGTGTTTCCTGCCTAGAAAAGTTCCTTTAGCATTTGTTGCAAAGCTGGTTTGGTGGTGCTGAATTCTCTTTGCTTTTGCTTGTCTGTAAAGGTTTTAATTTCTCCATCGAATCTGAATGAGATCTTTGCTGGGTAGAGTAACCTTGGTTGTAGGTTTTTCCCTTTCATCACTTTAACCATTTTCTTAACTTAGACTGAAACTAATTTTTATCACATTGAGTTATTATGAAAATATCAAATTAAAATGCAAGCAAAATAGTTAGATATCATGCTTAGTGATATTATAAATTCCATTAGTTTTCTTCAAAATTTTTACAGCCTATTGATAAAAATCTAAGAGAAGCAAAATAAAAATAAGCCAAACAAGCACAAATCATGGCAGCATGACCTTGAAGGGTAGCAGAATATGCCACCACACAATATGCCTCTTTGGCATAAGGATTATTTTGACCTAACAGGTGGTTTTAGATAATAGAATTTAAATTACTTGTTGGCCACAGGAGTCTGCAATACCAAATATCTCCTGCAAATATCTCTGGTATTGTAGAAACTCAAATACAAAAAATTATTAAGCCACTTGGCTAAAAGAGATTAGTGCCTCTTCATGTACATTCTTTTATTTATTTGGTACAGAATGGTTTGGTTCATGGGGCCTATGAATAGATGCCTATTTCAGCCTCTTGGTATTTTCCTTCTGATAGCCATCATTGTTGACTCCCTGACGAGCTGTGTTCTCTCAAGGGTTTTATAGGTGTTCACAGCACCATTAATACATCAGATTGTCTCACTGTGCTTTGAGAAAGAGAAACAAGATGAACAATGAGATGAACAGCAAAAACCTTCTTCAAAAGTGATTTCATAACCTGTAAGTTTCACAGCGAAAAAAGTCACCCTGATGATAACTGAGTGTGCTAATAACAAACACATGAGAGGATGACCAAAAGGGGGGGATTGCTGAAGTAATTACACAAGGAGGCCATTAGACTGAGATGGCTTGAATGCCTTGGTAGCCTGCATAAGCAAACCCAAACCCAAGCCAGATCTAATATCTGTTAATGCACTCGTATCCCAGAAAACGAATTTAAGAGCAACCAGTCACAAACACCCAACTAGGCTTTTGCAAGTAAGACGGCCACTTAAGTTATAGCCAATCAAATAATTTCCTTTCTTTCCTACTGCCTCATTTTTATAAAAGTCTTTCCCCCAGCTTATGTTGTTGGAGTGCTCCTAACCACTTTCGGTTTGGCACTGCTGGATTTGAGTTGATATTCCCTCAAATAAAGTCTTGAAAAAATTTTGGTGGGTCTCAGTTTACCAGATTGTAAATGATATTGTATACTTAATTTTTGTTTAATGCCTTCATTGTCATATATAGAATACAAATCGATTTTTTGGGTTGATTTTGAATTCTGCAACCTTGATGAACTTTCTTATTAGTTGTAGCAATGGGGTTTTTTTTTGAGGGGGGGAAGCATTCCTTGGAATCAAGAAAATGATACCATTTGCAATAGCATCCAAAAATGTCAATTATCAAGGAATAAATCTAATAAAAGATGAGTGAGATTTCTATAGTGGAAACTACAAATCATCATTAAGAGAAATTAATAGAACTACATAAATGATGAGAATACAAAATTTGGAGATCGATCATAAGAGTAAATATTTTAAAGATGTCAGTTCTCTCTAAATTAATCCAAATTCAGTAAAAATCTCATTAACATCATGGCAAGGAATTTTGTTTGCTGGCTTTCTTGCTAGTTTTGTTTCTTCACTGTTTTGGGGTTTTCTTGTTGTTGTTGGTGGTGTTGGTGGTGGTGGTGGTGGTGGTGTGGGAGGATTGCCAAGCTGAATTTAAAAATTCACATGTAAATACTATAGTCTTAGATTAGCCAAAAACATTTTGAAAAAAAAAACTGGAAGAAATTCAGCACAAGATAATGAAAACTATATGAGTTAATATTGTGTGATATATTAATTGATATAGTGTGGTGTTGGCTCAAGTATAGACAAACTGCACAACAGAACAAAAGAGAAATTCTAGAAACAGATCCCCTCACAAATGCAATGCTCTGGTCTACGGTGACACTGCAGAGCAATGGGGGAAAGATGGTCTTTTCAATAAATGCTGCTAGGTCGTTTGAAGGTCCTTTTAAGGAAATTTAATGTGACACCTACTCAAATTTCAATAAAAACCAATTTCAGATGGATTGGAAAAATTTAGTAAGATTTAACATTGAAGCAAACGGGGCCTTGGATTTCAATTGACGGTTGATCTAAATTTCTTTATCAGATGTACCACTATACAGATTGTCTTTTTTTTTTTTTTTTTTTGGTTCGCGGGCTTCTCACTGTTGTGGCCTCTCCCGTTGCGGAGCACAGGCTCCGGACGCGCAAGCTCAGCGGCCATGGCTCACGGGCCCAGCCGCTGCACGGCATGTGGGATCTTCCCAGACCAGGGCACGAACACGTGTCCCCTGCATCGGCAGGACGACTCTCAACTGCTGCACCTCCAGGGAAGCCCCCAGATTGTCTATTTTGAGTCAGTTTTGGTAAATTATATGGGGTAGATTAAAGAAGGGTACAAATTATTTGCATTTATCTCATGGAGACGTAGATTGTATATCCCCTCCCCTTAAATCTGGACTGACCCTGTGCTCACTTAGACCATTATAATGTGATGGAAATTACTCCACACAAGTTCTGAGGCTAAGTTTGAAGAAGTCTTGTAGCTTTTACTTTCCTTTCTCGGGAGTCCTGAGGCATCAGGCTTGTCTTCACAGCTGATGGGACCACATAGCCCACGTTAGAGGGACTGGAACTTCATGCAGAGGGAGAGAGCGTCTCAGTGTCCCAGATGAGCCTCCAGAGGACCCCAGCCCCAGCTACTGTCTGACTGCAGCCATGTGAGAGACCCTCCATGAAAACCACCAAGTTTAACCAACTCTTAGAATTGTGAAAAATCATCAAATAGCTACAGTTTTAAGTCACTAAGTTTGGGGATGATTTGTTACACAGAAATAGATCATGAAATGTAGTGTTTTTCAATGAATTTCATCTAAAATATCAAATCTACTGGCATAAAATTCCTTATAATATCTTCTTAGTATCTTTTTAATGCCTGTAGGAGCTTTAGGAATATTATCTTTTACATTCCAGGTGTTAATAATTTGTAATTTAGATTTTTTTTCTGCTTTAGCAATCTTGTAGGTGATTTATTTAAAAAGTGAAAGAAAGAAAACCTTCTAGTTTTGTTAATTTTCTTTATTATACATTTATTTTCAATTGTATTAATTTTCTCTTTTACCTTTATTATTTCCTTTCCTCTATTTTTCAAGTTAAATTTACTTTTCCTAGATGCTTAAGATAAAAGTTTAGGTCTCGTGCTTCCCTGGTGGCGCAGTGGTTGAGGGTCCGCCTGCCGATGCAGGGGACATGGGTTCGTGCCCCGGTCCAGGAGGATCCCACATGCTGTGGAGCGGCTGGGCCCGTGAGCCGTGGCCGCTGAGCCTGCGCGTCCGGAGCCTGTGCTCCGCAATGGGAGATGCCACAGCAGTGAGAGGCCCGCGTACCGCAAAAAAAAAAAAAAAAAGTTTAGGTCTCTGATTTTTATATATTTTTCCTTTTATAATATAAGCATTTAAATCTATAAATTTCCCTCTGGAGATTCCTTGGGTTGCATATCACATGTACTGAAAATCTATTTTAACATTCCCATAGTTTTCTAATTTCTCATCTGATTTATTCTTTGATAAGCCATGGATTATCTAGAAGTGTATTACTTCATTTCCCAAAACCGGCTACTATCTCAGCTAAATATTCCTGATTACAGAATACAGAAAACTCAAAATAAAACAGAGAATGAAGCAAAGAAACCTACCAGACCCACATGTGACCAAAATTCAGGAATAAAAATAAAAACAATTATTGAAAACCTCTTGTTGGGGCTCAGGGAAGGCTGTTCCCAAATATGCCACAATGGCATATTGATTATTTTGAACTAGTTACTTAAGAAATGGCCAATGCAAGAGGGACACTCTGACCCTCCTTCTGTCTCCCTGAAAGCAGGAAATAATCTCTCATGTGAAAGACGCACTCCCTGCATCTGGAGGTATGACACACTTATCAGCATTCAGACCAAGAAACCTATATAAACAAACCTTATTGCATCTTTAATTTATTGATACTACCTCAAGCCCAAACTTTGGTTAGATTCTTCACTATTAGAGCACCCAAAACCTAAGTTTCTTTGTCCTGTCAATTACTCACAAACTTATTGTTTCTTTGTCTAAAAAGCATAAAAGCTACCTGCTTTGGCCACTTCTTAGGTCCTATTTCTAAAGACCTCCATGCACGTGAATTAAAATTTGTTTCTTTTTCTCTTGCTAATCTGTCTTGCATCAATTTTATTAATAGTCTAGCCACAGGAACTCAGGAAGGATAGAGAGGGAAATTCTCACCCTCCCGCTGCCCACCCTCCCCACCAGACACTCCCTTTCTTTCTCTCTCTCTCTCTCTCTCTCTCCCTCTTTTCGTTTTTGCCTACGTTTTTCCTTGAAGCTGTATCAGGCAGATGCTTCTCACTCCACGTTTATTTGAGCAAAACTTTGTAAAGAAATGTGGGTTAAAGATGTGTTCACATGAAAGGGAGGCCATAAGGCTTGAATATAAAAGGGACCAGGAAAGAATAAAGATAGGATACTGCTTTCAATATTCCGGATTTCCAGGTCAAGGGGCAGGGGCTGAGGAAGCCATCAGGGAGGAGATTTTCTGCAGGAGCAAACCAGATCTTGAGAAAGTACTCCCTTTGTGGATTAAAAGCCCAACAGGAAACACTTTCATGCTGCAAAGTAGCTAAGCCAGAAGGTTCTTTCTCTTATGAGTGTCATTATCTTCACTTCAGTTTAGGAGTCCTGCAAAAGACAGAAGATAGCGTTGTTTTTACGACAAGCTAATTCTACAAGCAGCTTCTTTCCCCCTCTCCCAGGGTCTCATGTTAAAGCAGTATTGTAAGAAGGGAAAAAAAATTCCTAGATCTCCCTGAGCCAAAGCTACTTTAGAGAACTGGCCTTTTGTTAAGTGGCCAGAAGAAGTTTAGAATTCAAAGTCTTTCCCATTATGTCTGTCTTGTCATCTCTACAACCAGTTCTAGGAGACCAAATCTATCTCTAAAAGAGGATTAAAAGGCATTACCTGTTGGCTGAAGTCCAGAGTGTCCTGCGAAAGAGAAGAGAAGATATATATTTAAAGGATATGGAAGGAATTCTGTCCCCAGCCCCAGGCCCCCACCTGATATATCTCTACTGCACAACATATATCCCCTAATGCCAGGGTAGACAGGAGAGCAGACACTAGGAGCATGTGATCCATGAAGTTTCTGTCACACAAATCCAGTGTAATTTCATCAGCCTTTGTGTCTCTTCCCGCATTTGCCCCAGGATCTCCACCCAAAATCTCCACGCATGTTAACTCTTCTTTTATCTCTACAGGCCATCACCTCTTATTTTTCAACCATAAGTAACCATGAACTGTTGATTTCTGGATTTCCGGAAATTTGAGGTCAATAAAGGGGAAATAAAAGTTTTATACAGGGTCACTGATATACAGCGAACAGACTTGAGCAAAACCATCTTTCTTCCTCCAAAAAAGTCTGTGGGGCATCTCAGCTGCCAACAGGTTCCTTACCTTTCTGATTCCTGAAGTAGATGAACAGGCCCACCCCAAGGAAGAGCAGACCCAGAACAAAGGCCCCGATTCCACTCAGCATCTTGCTCTGAGCAGATTCAGACTGTGCCCCTGAGAAAAGAAGCTAGTTTTAGTGATTCTTATCCCAAATCCAACTTCTCTAATTGAGATTCTGAGATTGAGATCTTTGAGAATGGGGAAAGAAGGATGCCCTGGAAGAAATAGAATGACTGGTCATTTCTGGAAAAGAGGTTAAAAATACAGAGTAGCTACAAGGTTAAGACATTGAACCCATTTAAATATCACAGCCCTGACGTAAGGCCATGACTACAACATCTGATGGGTGAGGACCCTGGGGCTGAATGAGGTTAAGGAGCTTGTCTAGGGTGGCAGAGCTAATAAAAGGCAGAACTGAGGTTGGACTCCCCTCATGTCAGGAAGGTCCCTACATTGTAGAGGATGTGCCCCTTCTCAGATCACAGGGAACATCTCAGAGAAACAGTGTCAGAAGCACAAGCCCAGCCTTACATTGCCCAAGAGTCTGGTGCCTTGGGCAACGGGGTGACCATGAATTGTGACATCATGGAGGCTCAGAACAGGGACACCTCTTCTCTGCCTGCCAGGCAGAATTGTCTCACCAGTGGGTATAGGTATTTATAGAAACTATCAAAGGATATCTACAAACTATCAGAGGGTTTCTATCACAGGATATCACAGGGCTACTCCCAGTAACTTGTGCTGAAAAAGAGAAGAACATGAAGCAAATAAAAATATGGTGCAGGGAGAGGAGAAACCTGACAATCAGTGGTAATCAAAACCCCCTCCTTGGTGGCTGAGGAACTTATGAGGCCAGAAAGCTTCTCACTCCATTCCACTGTGACAGGGCTGGTCCGGCTGGGGTGCTCCACGTGGCAGGTGTAGACCTCTCCACTCTGAGGGACTGTTTCAAGCATCACCATGGTCTGGAAGGTCCAGTCTCCATTTCGGATCAGGCCTGTGGAGACCACCCCCGCCTCCTCTTCCTGGCCGTTCCGGAACCACCTGACTTCAATGTGGCCTGGATAGAAACCATTCACAGAGCAGACCAGGAGGTTGTGGTGCTGCAGGGGCTGTGTCTTTGCAGGATACACAGTCACTGTAGGCGCCACTAGGAGAGAAAAAGGTAGAGCGGATAAGTGAGGGAGACAGAGTAAGTCTCGTTGGTTGGCTGCCTTTCTGCCCCCAGTCTCCAGTCTCCGGCAGGCCTCCCTGAAAGCTGGCTATGTAGCCCAACAGAAATTAGTGCCATAAGACTTGACTTTAATGCTTACAGTATGGGCCCATTAGATCTGGCAGATGTTCAGGAAATTTGTTTTCTATTGTTTTGTTTTTCATAGCATGAAAGAGTTATTCATTGTTGAATTGATGCGTTTACAAATCTTTGCACGGTATATAGTGTATTATTAATAGCATGATTTCTGGAGCCAGGGTGCCTGAGTTCAAATCCAGGCTCTGCCTCCTACTGATTGATCCTAGGTGAGTTTTAAAATTCCTCTGTGCCTCAGGTTGCTCACCTGTAAAGGGGGATAATAATACTAACTTACCTCTTAGGGTTATGTGAGGATTAATGTGAAACGATGGCTGGAACTTAGTCTTTAATATATGTTAGCTATTTACTATCTTCATTTACTTGGAGAGAAAATATGACTCAAAGCAGTGTGGATAAATTAGGGGGCAGCTTGGGGTAGATGGGGAGACAGAAGATAAAATCCTGGGAATGCTACACTCACACCTTAGAACACCACAGAAAGGGTTCTACCCTGGGAAGCAGGAATAGACAAAGGTGACTCTTGAACTCTGAGTTGAGTTCCAAGGAAAGCATGATTCCTGAAGGGGAGAGAAAGGACCAAGTAAAGTCACTCATTAAAAAAAAAAACCAAACAAAACCAAAACAAAAGCTTATTATTACACTCAGCTGATCAATTCTTCTGCTTTGCAAAACAAGTAGATCTATTACTGGAATTGTATCATTTTACAATTGTCTTTATTTTTAAGCTGGCATTTCAGTTCAGGGCAGGGTCTGAGACTCATTAATATGTGTGCTTAGTTCCTGAGACAACCCTTGACACCACCAGCCACAATAAACACAATTATTATTTGCAAAAGAGAAACCTGGGGGGAAAAACATTTTTACAATAATGCAAAGTGGTAGATTTAAGATTGATGGTAAATCATCACTAACAATTTTGCAGTATATTTCATTAAATAAAAATGTTTAAGTTCCTAACTTAGAATATAATGAACAGAATCAAAACATAAACCACAGACTGGAGAAAAAGCTAAATCAAATGTCAGCAACTTGTTCCTCTTAATGCATAGAGAACCCATAAAATCACCGAGAAAACCACCAGGACCCAGAGATAGTCAACAATAGATAATTCTTAGAGCCATAACAAAGGTTAGCCAATAAATATGTGAAAAATGTTCAAGAACCTTAGAAATCAAAGAAATTTTAAATAAAAACAAAAAGATATAAATTTTCAACTGTTTGGTAATGTTGAAAAAAGATCTAATAAAGGGGAATGTAAAGTAAAATGAGGTAAATTGTTACAAGTATAAAAAGGAAAATATGTAACTACTCAAATACTACTAGCGTTATAAAAAATAGTAACATCAGCATATTAAGTAACAAAATTATAATTCAAAAAGTTGATTTCACAATCATTTCAACTATGTAAAATATATATACTAAGGAGAAAAAAAGCAAGAAATTTAGACCTGAAATAAGCTTCAGAGAGATCAGAGGAGCCGCAGAGGCTCCCCTGCCTGCACCTGTCAAAAAGTAGTCTGACACCTTTTTCTCAGTGAAGTGCTCCTACACACAGACAGACGCGGCACACTTATTTCCGGGGTGTCAGGGGAGTAAGAGGGTGTGTGCCCAGAGCACGCTGTGACTCTTCTCCTCGCAGGCTCCCAATCCTTTCACTTTCCTCACCTCTCCTCCCCCAAACCTTCCCCCAACCATAGACACCTTGAAGTCCCTCCCGCACCTCTAACCGCTCACTCCAGTCGGGGTTTCCTCCCCTCCCTTACCCTCCCCCTCCCCTCCCCCACAGGGACCACCAAGGACACCCGGAGCCTCCCTCCTGCACCCCTCCCGCCACACCTCCCCTCCCTGCCGGGCCTCCCCACACCACACACGCTCTCTCCCCTCTCACAGTCACTGACAAAATCACACACGGTCTCCAGACAACAGGCTCTCACAAGAACCCGCCTAACTTGTACTTGCTCACAGCCCTACACACACCCCGCCCCCCGAACGCAGTCTCCTCTGTTCCCGTCTCCGTTTCTCTCAGTCTCTGTTTCAAACACACACTCACACGCACTGCGCCCCCGCCCGCTGGCCGCCCAGCCCCGCGCTCACCTCGCCGCTGCACCGTGAAGCTCTCCACAACCCCGTAGTTGTGTCTGCAGTACGTGTCCAGCGCGGCCCGGTTCTGCTCCAGGAGGTCCTTCTGGCTGTTCCAGTACTCGGCGGTCCGCCGGCCCAGCTCGGTCTCCGCCCGGTACTCGCCCACGTCGCTGTCGTAGCGCACGTACTCCTCCCCGTTATAGATGTATCTATCCACGAGCTGCACCCGCTCTGTCCCATTAGAGAAACGACACTCGCTCTTAAACCGAAACATGAAAAGTGCTGTGGGGACAGGAAAGATCTGATTACCTGGGCGGGCTCCTGGGAAGAGACTGAAGGCAATAACCACAAATGCAGGGTACCCAGACGGAGGATGGGGCACTGACACTCCTTTATTGGCTCCACTGGCACCCCCAACTACCCCACCGGTTCATCTTTGATCTGCAGGGTCAAGCGAGACCATGGTGGGTGGAGGAGACCCCTCTGATCCTAAGGCATTTGGGATGCAGTCAGCTCTGTATTTGGCAGGAGACCTCCAAGCCGGAGCCGGAGCCGGAGCCGGACGGGGATTTGCCCCATCACCACCTCCTCCTGAATGCCTCCACCAGAAAAACACTCTCTGCTTCCTCCTCTCATCTCACAACCCTTTAGCTGTTCCTGAAACACTTCCTTACCTAGTGCTGACCTTGTGCCAAGCCTGTGCTGCTGCCCCTGGGATTCCACAGAAGGAAAAACAAACATCTCCCCTACCTTCTAGGAGCATAAAATTTAGTGAAAGTGATGGACAAAACCCAACCACACAAGAATTAATTATACAGCAGCCAGAAATGTCACAAGAAAAGCGTGGAGATCTAGAACAGAGAATAATTTACGTTAGGGTGTCAGAGAAGTAGTCTCTAAAGACTGATATTTAAGATGTGACATGAAAGGTTAAGTTGATGTGAGCTGAAAGGGAGAGTGGGTGTAGGGGGGTGTATGTGAGGGAAAGAGGAGGCATATTTCAGGTAAGGGTAATATCGTGTGCAGAAGCTTGAAAGACATGATGAACTTCTGCAAGAAATCAGAAAATAACAGTTCACTGAGCACAGAGAGTGAGAAAGGAGGAGGGTAAAAGACTAGACTGGAGAAATGGTGTGGGGTACTTAGAAGCCTTGGAGACAATGTTAGGATTTTGACTTCATACTAAATGTAATGGGAAACCCTAACCCTAACCTAGGTTAGGTAGAGATACGTGAAGCTACTGAAGCGTTACAAGGAGGGTCATTTATGTTTACTTTTAAGAAATAATTGTAGGTACCACACAGAGATTGGATTTTAGGAGTTCACAAGTGGAGACAGGGAGACCATTTAGGAACATGGTAGAATTCTCCAGTGAAGGTGTGCTTGTGGCTTCATTTAGTGTGGTAGTGACAAAGACAGTAGTAAAAATAGAGTGAGCAGACTTGGGGTAGATTGTTGTGTGACTTGTTAATGAATTAAATGGTGGGGTTTGGTGGATAGAAGGTCAAGCTTATCCCTCAGGACTTTGTCTTCACATATCTCCACAAATAAAAATCAAAGTTCTCACCATGACCATCAGGGCCCAATATGATCTGGCTCCTGATCTCCTTTCCAACCTCATCTTATTTCACTCCCCAACCCGCTTGCTCTGCTTCAGTCACTCTAGCCTTCTTTCTGTCCCTTAAACAGCAAACATCTTCCCACAGTTTGGCCTTTCCCTTGGTCCCTCTCCCTGGAGCATTTGTCCCTTAGATCCCTCACATGTCTGGCTTCTTCTCATCATTTATGTCTCAATTGAATGTCACCTTTCCAGGGAGAGCTCCCTAGACACTTGAATTGAAGGCAGGTGAATCCAATACTCTCTGTCCCAAAACCTTGAACTATTCTTTTCAGAGGACTTGTTGCTCTCTGAAATGTTTTTTTGGTTTTGTTGGTTGTCATTGTTGTTGTTAAATGTTTATTGGATTGTTGTCTTTCTTGTCATTAAGTTCCAAGATAATTGGGGATTTTTCTATCTTATTCAAATAGGATTGTCTGAGCCCAGAATAGAGCCCAGCATATAATAATAGTTGCTCAGAAAATTATTTGTAGTCTAAATTAATAAACCCAGGGTTCTAGGAAATGATTTTTGTGGGCATCCCAGAAAGCAAGAAAGGGTTCAGCTCCAACACTCTTTTATTCTGATGACACATTATATCCCTTCTACTTCTCATGAAAAACCCAAATTTCCTCTTTCTTCTTCTACTAGTTGGAAGAAACATTCACAGGTAGAAAATGGTAATTTTAAGAGAAGGGGAAGAGTTCATTATGTTCGAAATCATCCAGTGAACCTGTTATAATGCTGAGGGTTTGTGCATACTTTGGGGATTATCAGATCTGGTGATGACATAGCTGGGGAAAATAGGGAGGAACTAAAATTTGAGGTAACCAAACATAGCTGATTAAGGAAAACAGAGGGCATGATGCATGATCTTATGAAATTTGGGTCCAAGACTCCAAGAAACCAATGAGTTCCCTTGACTTGCTTACCAGCTTTCAGCCCAATGGGATGGAAACAACTTTCACACTGTCTGTACCCTAATGAGGTACATGGTTTCCCATTTAAAACTGCAGATGTTTGACTATCTGTGAACCACAAAATCAGAATTTCATGTAATTTATTCTATGCTCCGGCCAGAGAAGGGGGAGATAGGAGGGAAACTGATAGTATAGAAAGGCTCAGGCTTCCCTGGTGGCGCAGTGGTTAAGAATCCGCCTGCCAATGCAGGGGACACGGGTTCGAGCCCTGGTCCTGGAAAATCCCACATGCCGCAGAGCAATTAAGCCCATGTACCACAACTACTGAGCCTGCACTCTAGAGCCCGTGAGCCACAACTACTGAAGCCCTCATGCCTAGAGCCCATGCTCCGCAACAAGAGAAGCCTCCGCAATGAGAAGCCCGCGCACCGCCATGAAGAGTAGCCCCCGCTTGCCACAACTAGAGAAAAACCCGCGCACAGCAACAAAGACCCAACTCGGCCATAAATAAATAAAATTTTTTTTTTAAAAAAAGAAAGGCTCAAAATAGTTTCATAATGATCACTAACCCGTGTTGGGTGTTCAGAAGATGGCTTACATTTCTTAAGGCATCAAAGAACACCCCATAGGTGCTCTTTATCTACAGGGTCATTCCAAGTACTAAGAATCCCTGCTTCAGCTCCAGGGTGCCTTACCCAGGAGGAATAGAGAGAAAACTAACCCCAACTTCTGTCAAAGAACTCCTAGTACAGGGATTCAAACCTTATAAACATTGGAGTTCAGGGAAAATGGAAAGAAGATAATGGGGGAGTTCCCTTGATACATCCTCATATATTAGGGAGAGGTAGCAGCATCACAGATCCTGTTGAGGACATAACACAGGACCTTCTAGGAGAGATCTTCCTAATTATTTAGATTCTCCATAAAATCTTCAGAGAATGTTCTCTTTTTCTTGTACATTCAACATAATAAAGATATCTGTTAATGGAGAATTATTTTAACATCATTTTTTCTAAATCTTTTCAAACACCTGAAGGGATGGGATGCAAGGCTGGGGAAGGTTCATTGCAGGACACTTGAGAAGAAATAGACTATAGATATGGAGGCTACGTATGCCACACTCATTGAGAGGGCAAGTATCCAGGTACATTTTGTTGTAGATAGATTGGAGATCCATGTGATAAAGATAGGTGGTCACTAAAAACAAAGTCACTGCACCACCAGGGAAGCCTGAAAAGTCACAACTTTTAAAGAAGGCTGGTCTGGACACAGAGATAAAGCTAACTCCCTTCCTTCCCCCACCCCACAATAGCTCACCCCCCAAAGTGTTCACTTACATTGGGTCTCCCTGGCCCAAGCGAGGGGCGGGCTCAGCACCATCAGTATCACTGTCAGAGCTGCCATCCAGGAGCGTCCGGAGAAATACAAGGACACCATGCTGGAGAACAGGAGAGGACAGGGTGTGTGGGGAGCAGGCAAGCCTCGCTGAATTGCGAACTGTGACTCTCCTCCACCCAAGTGATACCAACCAAGGAATTCAGTATTTGCTCCTGGATTGGGTTATCTCAGTGTTGGAGAACCAATCAGCATCACAGATGAGAAACATCATAAGTTACTGGTCAGAGATTCAGTATGAAGGTCCTCTTCTGAAACTTAGAATTTCCTCCATTAAAAGGATCGTTTTAATTTAGTGCTTTAAATGTTTGATCCAGTTGTATCTGACACAGTTTATTTGGGCTTCTCTTGAGAGCCAGCTCCCTGCTGGTCAGTGATGTGTCACATGTTTGAGCCTAAAGATCATTCATTTCTCTTACTCGAAGACATAGATATTTTGACAAGCATATGTGTGAGTGTGTTTAGGAGTTGAGCAGGTAGAGAGAAAGTGATTGCAATTTAGGAGACCTTTAATTTGGTCCTGCTTGTACTTGTAGATTTGGTGAAATTATTTAACCTCTGCAATTGAAATGAAGGCACTGTGATCTTTCAGGTATAACAATACTGAAAAATGCTGTGATTCTCTGGATGCTTTAAGGAACACCATCCCCTGGTAACTGATGATGCGACAGAATTATAGCTGTTGTTTAGAGTATAATCTGTACTTCCTGACAGGCAGGGGCGTCTCTGATAAACTAAAGGAAATGGAAATTTAGTGAATTACTTAACATGAGTGAAAAAACTTTACAGGTTTTTCTCCTGATGCTGTCTAAGTTTAGTGGCACCTCCAGAATATTCATACAGAAAGGGGCTTAGAGGAGGCAATCTGCATGGAATGGAAGATCTTGAAGGCATCTTTGTAACATTTAACTTAACAGTGTGATAAAGCCAGCTGTACTGATCAGAGTTTGCAAGTGACTGAAAGATCAATAAAAAGTCAAAGTCAGCCTTTGACACAGCACCTCCTCTTTAGAATAATTAATATTTTATGTAAAATACGTTCAATTCCTTATTCTTGGCTCCCATTAGGATTTTCTTATTTTCTTGGGAACATGTCCTCTTATAATTCACCTTCTCTTGCTTTATCCCCAGAAGATATTATAAGAAGATGTTGCTAATGAATACATTATGGAGTGTTCATAAATAGAACCCTATGAAAAAACTACGAATTATATCCTTTGATGTAGTCATATAATCTTAAAAATGTAATTCTACTTTTAGGTTATTATTACACATTATATTAACATAAATATAATATTTCAGATTTAGAATGGACTTTAAATGCAACTATTTATTTAAAATTATGCATTAATTCACACTCTGCCCAAGCCATTCTTTATGTGCCTTAATATTTCTAGTGACAGTACTCATCACGCTGCTTTAAAATGATTAAAATTTATTGAGCATTTGAGAGCTTTACTTAGTACCCAGAATTATACAAAGACTTTTTACATGTCTTTTTAAAATGTAATTCTCATGTCATCTCAGTGATTCAAGTACCCTTTTTAATCCTGCAAATGGAGAAAATAAAATAGTGGAAGGAGGTTAGATAATCTTTGCAAGGATACAAGACTAGTAAATGGTACACTCCAGATTGAGCCAAGTTACATGTGATTTCAAACCCTGCAAGCTCAGCCATCACATCATACCACTTCAGATTTAATTTCTAAAGAAAATAATGTCCCTTACATTTAAACTATTTTTATCACTTTAATTCACGGATATGTGTATCAATAAAACTACTCCTTTTAATGACTGACAGCATCATGTAAATTGAAGTAGCTACAGTATAGCAATTATAATTCTTTAAAATTTCCCTTCATCAACACTGTAACCCTCCTCTGGAAATGACAGTGTTTGCATTTGTCTTACGTAATAATGCCCGTTGCTCCCCACAAGTCTCCTGCTTATTGAGGCTGCAGAGGCCTCCAAATTCCTAAATCTAATCCATGGTCCTCAATCATTATTTTAGATTTCTTGGCATAATGTAGTGTTAATCTGAACATTTTGGAGTAGAATAGAAATAGTATCTTGCTTACCATGGAATAATATATTTCTATTAATGTGGAAAATTCAAAATTCTTGGAGAGGTTGGGTAGAAGTCACTATTGTCCCTGGATTCCAGAACAATCTATGTCCCTAAGACTCCAGTGATAGTTCAGTACTATTGGATATTGTGCAGTTGCAACCATGAGAATCTCATGCTTAATTTGACCAAGAGAAAATCATAATTTACACAGAATTAACTAGTTGTGACATGTGAAAATCTGAGAAAGTCAAACTAAGGTTCACCTTAGATTATAGGATAAAAAGAATGGCAAAGAAAAGTAATTCTATATCAAGAACATACTGAAATAGAATTAAAGAGAACAGTATCAAAACTTGTTCATATAAGTTTGATGTGCAATTTACTAATTGTATAATATATATACTGAAACATAGTTAAAGAGAGCACTACCAAAACTTCTTCATATAAATTTCACATACAATATACAAATATTACAAATTTATTTTAAAAGAGAATGAACCAATGACCTAAATTCTGTATGTTGTATACATTTATGAATAATAAAAATGTGCTGCTCTAAATATTATATATTTCAACTTTTCTGCAATATTAATTCAATAGAAGGACAGTTCACGTAAAACAATGCAGCAATTGTCACCGAACCATTGCTCCCACAGGTGATCTTGAGGCTGAGCTCCTTCACTGAAGGCAAGAGGAGAAGCAATGCTGCTCAGCTTCTGCTCTGTAAGAGAAGTGTCAACTAAAGGCTTATTTCCTGAAGAAAAGGCAGTTATACTGGTTTCTGGAAGAGAGTGGTTATCAGTACAGAAGTTCTAGTCTTTGCTCTTGTTGTGTGAGACCACAGGTTTGTTTTTATGGAAAATGAATTGCAACACTAGTGCAAGCAAACAAGTGGCATCAGAGGCACAGACTTGTTGAACAACAGGAAGACTGAAATTTGTATCATTACAGAACGCCTTGAGTACTACCAATCGTCACAGCCTAGGACTCACTTGTAGTAAGCCTGAAGGGTTGCAATACATTGGGGAAAATGGGGTCTCAGTGGTCAGCAAGCCAGCTGGCGTAGAATGAGTCTTGTCCAAATAGTCTCAGAATATTCTCTGTAGTTTTCGGAAGCTACCACCACTAAACTGGAACTTAGTGAGAAGCAGGTCAGTGGTCTCTTCATTTAAGGAAAAAATATTATTAATAAGAAACGGTGAGAGTAACATCATCATCATCATGGTGGAGTGAGATGTTTCCTTTGTCTGTCCCCCTCATCTACAACCACTGAAACATCCACAACTCAACAAAGATGGCCCTGCCTGACACACCAGGATGCCGGAGAATTCCACACATCTATATGTCTGCAGGTGGGTGGACTGGAACACACAAAGGAGGCAAAGCGGGAAAACAGTGAAGGTGGCGCCTGTGACCCAGCGCCCCCAGCCTAAGCAGCTGAGCTCACAGCCCTAGAGAACCCAGCAGCCACAGGGGAAGTGGAGCACAGGACTCTAGCCTCCTGGCCACAACAGTGCCCACAGCCACAGGGAACTAGGCAGCAGCAGTAGGGGGATTTACAATCCCATCCTTCCATCACAGAGGAACCCACAACTCCATCCCCCCGGCCTCTGCCCACAGTGGTGGTTCCAGTGTACCTGACAACTCAGGACAGAGTAGAAAAGCCCTTGACCCTGGCCCCCCTCCCCCCACCCTCTTCTTCCCCTCCCAACAGCAGCAGAGCCTGTGACTCAGAAGACCCCCATGCTCCATCCAGAAGTGCCCATCATCCCATTGCCCCAGGTGGCAATGCCAGTGACACTAGCAGCTGCAAGGTACCAATGACCCAGGAAGTACAAGCAGTAGCAACGAGGGTACTAGGTGGCCAACACCTCTGACAGAGGCAGTGAGAGGTGGAAATTGCCAACTCTCAAACATAACCAGAGGCAGCTCTAGTAGGAGAAACCAAAAACCTGTGCTGTAGCACCACCTACTGGAAACCACAGAAAGAACTCAGAATTAAGGTTTTAAAATTTTTTTAAAGCTTTACCTAAAGAAGAAAGGTGTTCACTACTTCAAATACACCAGCAGAGGAACAACTCTTCAACCACCATGAAGAACCATTGTTACATGGTACCACAAAGAGAAAATGACAAAATGGCAATTCTCCAGAAACCAAACTTAAAGTCATGGACTATTGTGATCTGACAGAGATTTCAAAATAACGAGCTACTAGAAAATCCAGAAAGGCAGTTCAATGAGCTCGGGAATAAAATTAATGAACATAAGGAATATTTACAAAAGAGGTAGAAACTCTAAAAAGAAAAAAACAGAAATCCTAGAGCTGAAGAAATCAATAAATGAGATGAAGAATGCATTAAAAGCATTGGAAATAGAGGAGACCATATGGAAGAGAGACTTAATGAGTTTGAAGACAGAAATCTAGAAATGATACAAGTAGAAGAGAAAAGAGACTCAAGATCTAAAAATAAATGCGGAAATTCTATGAGAATTATTTGACTCTTTTACAAAAAGAGGGAGAAGGGAGCAAAGAGTTTATTCAAAGAACTAATAGCTGAGAAATTCCTAAACCTGTGAAAGGAACTGGATATGCAAGTCCACAAAGCTAAGAACAAACCTAATTATCTCAATGCAAAAAGACCTCTGCGAGACACATTACATTAAGTCTCTCAAAAATTAATGACAAAGAAAGAATTTTAAAGGCAGCCAAGGAAAAAGGATGGTATACTCCAAAGGAACCCTCATTGGACCATCAGCAGGTTTCTCAGCAGAAACTCGACAGAAAGGTGAAATGACAAACTCAAACTTCTGAAAGGTAAAAACTGTCAGCCAAGAATACTCTATCCAGCAAAGTTATCATTCAGATATGAAGGAGAAGTAAAGGCTTTCCCAGACAAACAAAACCTGCAGGAGGTCACCAACATAAACCTTACAAGAAAAGTTGAAAGTGCCCTTCTACCTGAGACATAAAGGCAAAAGTATACAAAACTTTAAGTAAGGTGATATACTGACAGACAGAATCAGAAAATTGCAACTCTATATCACAACAGATCTTAAAACACTTCATTATAGCATGAAGGGGAAAGGGAGGAAAAAAAGCAGTAAAAATAGCTCTAGCTGCCTCAATTTGGTAACAAGCTCACAACATGGAAAGGGATAATTTTAGACAACAGAAACATAAGAGAACAAGAGGAGAAGGATGGAACCCGTATGGGCAAATGGAAATACGATGCTATCAACAGAAAAAGGACTATTTTATCTGTAAGACATTTTATACAAACCTCAAGGTAACCAAAAGACATAAACCTAGAGCAGACACACGAAACAAAAAAGAGGAAACTGAGAAAAACATTATGCAAAACCACCAAACTAAAATGGCAGACAGAGACACAAAGAAAAGAAATAATGGAGATATAGGGCAACCAGAAAAGAGAAGACAAAATGTTAGTGCTAGGTTTTCATTTATCAATAATCACCCTAAATGTAAATGAATTGAATTCACCAATCAAAGGCACACAGTGGATGGATGGATTAACAAACAAGACCCAACTATATGCTGCCTCTAAGGAGACTCTCCTCAGCTATAAAGACAAACAGGCTCAAAGTGAAGGGATGGAAGATGATACTCCAAGGAAATGGCAGCCAAAAGAAAATGGGTGGAGCCTCACTCGTATCAGACAAAACAGACATCAAGCCAAAAAAGATAAAGAGACAAAAGATGGACATTTTATAATGATAAGGGGAACAATTCATTAAGAAGACATAACTGTTATTAATATATGTGCACATAACACGGGAGCACCAAAATATATAAACCAAGTATTAATCTATCTAAAGGGAGAAATCAACACTCAACACAATAATGGTAGGGGACTTTAACACTGCACTTATATCAGTGGATAGACCATATAGACAGAAAATCAACAAAGAAACAGTGGCTTTAAATAAAACATTAGGCTAGATGGATTTTAAATATTTGTAAAGACATTCCATCCAAATGCTGCAGAATACACATTCTTCTCAAGTGCACATGGAACATTCTCAAGAATAAACCATATGTTGAGACACAAAACAAGTCTCAATAAATTTAAGAAGATTCAAATCATAGCAAGCATCTTTGCTGATCACAATGGTATGAAAATAGAAATCAACTACAAGAAGAAAGCTGGAAAAATCACCAATACACAGAGACTGAACAACATGCTACCAAATAACCGTTAGGTCAATGAAGAAATCAAAGAAGAAATTTTTAAAGTACCTAAAGATAAATGAAAATTAAAATATGAAATACCAAAACCTTTGGATGCAGAAAAAGAAATACTAAGAGGGACATTTATAGCAATACAGGCCTACCTCAAGAAGCAAGAAAAATCTCAAATAAACAATTTAACCTTACACCTAAAGGAACTAGAAAAAGAAGAATAAATGAATCCCAAAGACAGTAGGAAGCAAATATTAAAGATCTGAGTGGAAATAAATGAAATAGAGAGTAAAAAGGCAACAGAAAGGATCAATGAAACTAAGAGCTGATTCACTGAAAAGATAAACAAAATTGGCAAAACTTTTTCTTTTTTAATTCTCAAATCTTTAGCTAGACTGACTAAGAAAAAAAAGAGAGAGAGAGAGAAAAGGATCTGATAAATAAAATCCGAAATGAAAGAGGAGAAATAACAACGGATAACACAGAAATACAAAGAACTATAATAGAATATTATGAACACTATACACCTACAAATTGGACAACCTAGAAGAATAAACATATTCCTAGAATCACCCAGCCTTCCAAGACTGACTCATGAAGAAACAGAAAATCTGATAGACCAACCACCAGCCCAGAGATTGAAAGAGTAATCAAAAACCTCTCAAAAAACAAAAATCCAAGACCAGATGGCTTCACAGATGAAGTCTACCAAACATTCAATGATTTAATACGTACTGTTCTCAAATTATTCCAAAAAATTGAAGAGGAAGGAATGCTTCCTAACTCATTTTATGATTCAACATTGCCCTGATAGAAAAACCATATACAACACACACAAAAAAAAATTACAGGCCAATTTCTGTGATGAACATACATGTAAAAATCCTCCACAAAATATTAACAAACCAAATGCAACAATACATTAAAAGGACCATACACCATGATGTGGGATTTATTACAGGGATGAAAGGATGTTTCAACATCAGCAGATCAATCAACATGATACACCATATTAAAAACTGAAGGATAAAACTTACATGATTATTTAAATAAATGTATGAAAAGCAGTTAACAAGATTCAATACCTATTTATGACTAAAACTCTCAATAAAATGGATCTAGAAGTAACAGAGCTGAACATAATAGAGGCTAATTATGGCAAACCCACAGTTTACATCATACTCAACTGGGAAATTTCTAGTAATTTTATAGATATGTGCAACTATCACCACAATCCAGTTTTAGAACATTCCTGTTTACAGTTAATTCCCACCCCCGCCCCAAGCCCTAGAGACCCACTGATTCTCTTTCAGTCTATAAATTTGCCTTTTCTAGATGTTCCATGTAAATGGAATCATACGACAAGTAGTCTTTTGTGTCTGGCTTATTTCACTTAGTATATTTTTGAAGTTCATCCATTTTGCATCATGTATCATCAATTCCTTTAAATGTGTTTCAGTTGTTCTTTCTTATTGCTAAATAGTTTTCCATTGTATAGATACAGTGCATTTTGTTTTTCCATTCACTGACTGATGGATACTAGGCTTGTTTCCAGTTTTGTGTTATAATAACTAATGTTGCTATGAACATCTGCACATGCATATTTGTGAAGTATCCATTTTGTTTAAAGGAATGAGTATGGGCTATACCTGACAAACAACTTGAAACTCTCTATACAAATCTAAACCTCAAATGTCCAGGGATCTAATTCTGGACTTTGTTTTACTGGTGTATATAACAAATAATGAATGAATGCCAAAAAGTGCTTAATGAAATAGAGGTATAATAGGTTTTAGCATTTTAAAAAGTGAGTCATTCCTCATTATGTGTCTTTAAAAAAAATATCCCTGGAAAATATACTTTTCCTCACAAAATTAAGAGTCAGTATATGTTCTAAAATCAAGTAAATAATCCTCCCGCTTGCTTGCTTTTTGGGGGGAAGGAAGTGGCTTGTGGCTGATATTTAAGTCTCAATGCTAAAAAAAAATCCTTGCAATGATGCTGTCCATTAAATATCTATCATCCTTCATAAGGAAATCACTAAAAACACAATCTAATACTTCCATACCCTAAAATCATCCTCCTTACCCATGGATCATTTCTTTCTCTCTAAAAAAGATGATTTTAAACCTTTTCTTCCCTTGTGTATCACGGGAGGCGGGCCCATGTCACAAAGGATGAATCAAGGTTTGTCTGAGCCTACCGTTGTAATCCATGGTCCTCCGAATGTGTGGGGAAGTGGGTCTATTGGGAAAACTCTGGAAGAAGTTTGGTTGCTCCTTATAAAACCACACGAGAAGAAACAGTTCTCTTTTCTTGCCTTTAAGATCATTGGTGATGCAACTGGTCTGATGAATTGACCAACTCTGGAGATTCCCTACCTTGGGTCTATCTGTTATGTGAGATAAATAACTTAAAGAAAAGTAAAGCCAACTAGATTGGATTATCTGCTACTAGCAGCAGAAAGCATCTTCATAGATATATGCATACCGTATACTTTACTTCTACCTTATCATTTCCCACCACAGGTCTCAAATAAAATGAGACAACTTATTTTTTCATCCCAGAGAACAAAGTGACAGTGCAGTGAAGGTGCAACCCTGGGATCAAATGGAACTTATCCCAACTGAATGCACTTTGCAGACATGACTACTGGTTTATCAAACTCCTACAGGATGATAACCTGTTTCACACAAATAACACAGTATAATTAACATATGCAAAAATAAGCTTTTAATTTGCTTGAAAATAAAATAATAGTTATGTCTGACTGTGGAGAATTCAACTATTACTTTGAAATAAACTTCTGAATCTATTAACTACTGTTTAGATTTGATTTACATTTGAAACTGACTCTTCAGATGGCATACAATAGCAGAAGCCACCATCTTCTTAACCAGTTTAATTATCTTTCTCTGAGCCTATCCAACTCGCTTACATTATTAAAGTCTTTGGAATTTAGAACTATATACTTACTTACAATTATAGTTCCACAATCTTTTATGCAAGGGTCAAAGAAAGTTTGATTTACTTTTCTAGCTTGTTTCCCATCATATACTTTTTGTCAAGTTTGTTTTAATCATTCCAGTTTGTTTTTAGTTTTTATGTATCTCCTTGTTAAACTTTTGATTTAAATTTTTTATTACATAAAATATTTGAATGTCCCTCAAGTTAAAACTATTAAATATATTCCAAAAAGTCTGGCTTTCGTATTTGTCCCCTTCAACCTATTCTCTCATCTGGCCCTAAAGGCAACCATTTTTTTAAAAAAATCCTGCCATTGTTTATATTTACAAATGTAAGTAAGTGATAGATAGATAGATAGAATGGGTATAGTTATATATTTCTATTCTCCTCCTCTATCTTATTTTTTTTTAATGTTGTATACTATACAAATCTCCTATACCTACTGAAAGTGCATTTTGGGGATTATTCCATAACAGGGATTCTCATTTGTCTTCCAACTGCAGGATATTTCATTGTTTGAATGAACATCCCTGTATTCATAAATTTTCCTTTGTTTCTCAGAATTGTCTGATTTCTGCTGAGATAAGATCCATACAGGATTTTCCCTTGAAAGACAGTAAGTTTGTAACAGAAACTGGAGGGCCTCAGAAATGCATCTTATTGACATGAGTTGTGGCTCTGTCCTGATGGCCTTCCAAAACCTATTTATGGGGAAGAATGCATCCCAGCCAAAGAGTCAGCATGTCACTGATGTTTATCTGAGTGACAGAAAAAGACAAATGTTGAAGCCCACCATTAGTCTAATTAAAGAGGTGATCAAGGTGTGAACTAACCCAGGATTAGATACTTTCTTTAAAAATCATGGAAAAAGAGAAAAAGAGCATGATTATAAAATTTGTAATTTTTAAATAATAACAGATTTTTATAAAGCGTGCTTATCTTTGAGATTACAAAGATGCAGGAAACCATCATGATAGGGTCAATTAAGGGCTTTCTCCTAGCTCAGGAAAACACGCCTAATGACAAAATGCAGAAAACTCGAGGAAAAAACAGGGAGAGAAACAAGGAAACCTCCAGTTCCACAAGTGACCAAAATTCAGGAATATAAATAATAACCATTAATAGTTTTGCGATGAAATCCTCCCTTTCTCTTTTCTTTCTTCTTGTTTCCTTGAAACTGTATGAAGCCGATGATTGTCACTCCATATTTATTTGAGAAAAACATTATATAATAATATGGGCAGAAGATGAGATCAGGTGCACAGGAGGCAGTAAAGATTGAAAACAGAGGGAACCAGGAAAGAATGAAGATACGGTGTTGCAAACAATATGAGGAATGTCCAGGTCAAACGCGGGGGCTGAGGAAACCAGATCCTGATAAACACTCTCGTTTTGGAAGAATAAGAACTAAGCAGGAGACCTTTTTAGGCCATGAAGAAGCCGGGACAGAAGGTTCTTCAGCGGAGGAGTCCTGCAGGAGACAGAGGACAGTGTCATTTCCTGTCTTAACTTTACAAGCAGCTTTTTTCCCTCTCTCTGTCTCTCAGGCCTTCATGTTAAAGCATTGCAGTAAGAAGGGGAAAAATTCTTAAGTCTCCCTGAGCCAAAGCCACTTTTAGAGTTCAAGCCCTCTGTTTAGTGGAGAGAAGAAGCTTTAATGTAAACTGCTTGATCAGAAGTCAGATCCAAAGTCTTTCTCATTATTTCTGTCTCCTGTCTTGTCACTTCTACCATCTGTTCTAGGGAGACTAAATATGATCCTAAAAGAGAGTTAAAGAGCATTACCTGTTGGCTGAAGTGCGGGGTGTTCTGGAAAAGAGGAGGGAAGGTATATACTTAAAGGATACGGAGGTAAATCTATCCCCAAACACAATGTCCCTGGGCACAGACAACTCTCCTAAGACTTCTCTAACACCACAACCCACTTCACGTGATGCCAGGGTAGAGAGAACAGACACTGAGAGGATGAAGCTTCTGTCACACAAATCCAGTGTAATTTCATCACCCCTGTGTCTCTTCCTGCATTTGCCCCAGGATCTCCACCCAAAATCTCCATGCATGTTAACCTTTTTCTTATCTCTGCAGGACATCACCTTTTATGTTTCAACCACAGCTAACCATGGACTGTCAATTTCTGGATTTCCAGGAAATTTGAGGTCAACTAGGTAAAGAAAGATTTTATACAGGGTCATTGATATAGAGAGAACTAACCGGTCAAAGTCACATTTCTTCCCCAAAACGTCTGTTGGGAGTCTCAGCTGCCAACAGGTTCCTTACCTTTCTGATTCCTGAAGTAGATGAACAGGCCCACCCCAAGGAAGAGCAGACCCAGAACAAAGCCCCCAGTTTCACTCAGCATCTTGCTCTGAGCACATTCAGACTGTGCCCCTGGGAAAAGAGGCTAGTTTTAGTGATTTTTATCCCAAATCCAACTTCTCTATTTCAGCCTCTAAGACTGAGAGCTTTGACAATGGGGAAAGAAGGCTTCCCTGGAAGAAATAGAGTAATTGTCCATTCCTAGGAAAACATCTTTAAATCACACTGAGTAGCTTCAAGGTTAAGGCACTGAATTCATTTAAATATTACAGCCCTGACATAAGGCCACAAGACTTCAGTATCTGATAGATGAGGACCCTGGGGCTGAATGAGGTTAAGGAGCTTGTCTAGGGTGGCAGAGCTAATAAAAGGCAGAACTGAGGTTGGACTCCCCTCATGTCAGGAAGGTCCCTACATTGTAGAGGATGTGCCCCTTCTCAGATCACAGGGAACATCTCAGAGAAACAGTGTCAGAAGCACAAGCCCAGCCTTACATTGCCCAAGGGTCTGGTGCCTTGGGCAACGGGGTGACCATGAATTGTGACATCATGGAGGCTCAGAACAGGGACACCTCTTCTCTGCCTGCCAGGCAGAATTGTCTCACCAGTGGGTATAGGTATTTATAGAAACTATCAAAGGATATCTACAAACTATCAGAGGGTTTCTATCACAGGATATCACAGGGCTACTCCCAGTAACTTGTGCTGAAAAAGAGAAGAACATGAAGCAAATAAAAATATGGTGCAGGGAGAGGAGAAACCTGACAATCAGTGGTAATCAAAACCCCCTCCTTGGTGGCTGAGGAACTTATGAGGCCAGAAAGCTTCTCACTCCATTCCACTGTGACAGGGCTGGTCCGGCTGGGGTGCTCCACGTGGCAGGTGTAGACCTCTCCACTCTGAGGGACTGTTTCAAGCATCACCATGGTCTGGAAGGTCCAGTCTCCATTTCGGATCAGGCCTGTGGAGACCACCCCCGCCTCCTCTTCCTGGCCGTTCCGGAACCACCTGACTTCAATGTGGCCTGGATAGAAACCATTCACAGAGCAGACCAGGAGGTTGTGGTGCTGCAGGGGCTGTGTCTTTGCAGGATACACAGTCACTGTAGGCGCCACTAGGAGAGAAAAAGGTAGAGCGGATAAGTGAGGGAGACAGAGTAAGTCTCGTTGGTTGGCTGCCTTTCTGCATCCACTCTCCAGTCCCAGACTGCAGCCTTGGGCAGGTCTCCCTCAAAGGTGGCCATATGGCCCAACTTTAGGAGTTAGTACCATGATCCTGAATTTAACCCTTACCGCATGGACCCGTTAGATTTTAGAGATGCTGAGGATACTTGTGTGTCTTTTTTTCCCGTTGCATGAAGCAGTTTATTGTTGATGTGTTTACAACTCTTTGCAAGGCATTTAATTAAAAGTGTCATTTCTGAATCCATGTTGCCTGGGTTCAAATCCAGGCTCTGTCTCTTACAGATTCATCCCAGGAGAATTCTTCCATTCCTCTGTGTCTCATCTTTCTCACCTATAAAAAGGAATAATAATTCTAATTCACCTCCTAGGGTTATGTGAGGATTAATGCACCTGAAGTATGTAAAACCATAACTGGAATTTAGCCTTCAATATATCAGAGCTATTTATTACCCTTGTTTAATTTGAAAGAAAATATGATTCAAAGCAGTGTGGTTAAATTAGGGAACAGCGGGGGGGCGGTGTGTGGAGACAGAGGATGAAATCCTGGGAAAGCTGTCTCCAGGCACTCACACCTTAGAACACCTCAGAAAAGGTTCTACCCTAGGAAGAAGGAAAGACAAGTGAATCTCTAACTCTGAGTCGAATTCCAAAAAAAACCCATGAGTCCTGAAGGAGAAGGAAAGAAGGAAGAAAAGTCATTAATTAAAAAAAAATTTCTTATAATTAAACTCTGCTAATCAATCCCTCTCCTTTGCAAAACAAGTGAATTTACTACTGGAATTGTTATCAGTTTGCAATTGTCTCTCTTTTTAAGCTGACACATAAGTTCAGGCAAGGGTCTGGGACTCATTAAATATGTGTGCTTAGCGCCTGAGACAATCTCTGACAATACCAGCCTTAATAAACACAATTTTTTTAAATGATGGAGAAACTTGGTGAAAAACATTTTTACAATACTCTAAAATGGTAAGTTTAAAATTGATGGTAAATCTTTCCTAACAATTTTGCAGTGTATTTTATTAAGTAAAAATGTTTAAATTTCTATCATGGAAAATAATAAACTGAATCAAAATATAAACCACAAACTGGATAGAAAGCTGAATCAAATATCAACAGTGTTAATTTTGCTGCAAAGAGAATCTATATCACTGAGAAAAACACCAGGACCCCAGAAATAATAGAGAATAAATAATAGAGCAGTAACAAGGGGCCAATAAATATGTGAGAGATATTCAAGAACTTTAGGAATCAAAGAAATATAAATTTAAAATAAAAAATGTAACTTTTAAACTGAGTACTTGGCACTATATATCTTTGAAACAAGATCTGATAAAGGAGATTGTGAGGTGAATTGTTACACTTATAAAAAGAAATATTATGTAACTACTCGAATACTATTAGCGTTATAAAAATAGTAACATTAGTGTGTTAACACAATTATAATTCAAAAGCTGATTACACAGTCATTTCAACTATGTAAAAATATATAGGCTAAGAAAAAAAAAAGGCGAAAAATTTAGACCTAGAAGAAGTCTCAGGAAGGTCAGAGGAGCCGCAGAGGCTCCCCTGCCTGCACCTGTCAAAAAGTAGTCTGACACCTTTTTCTCAGTGAAGTGCTCCTACACACAGACAGACGCGGCACACTTATTTCCGGGGTGTCAGGAGTAAGAGGGTGTGTGCCCAGAGCACGCTGTGGCTCTTCTCCTCGCAGGCTCCCAATCCTTTCACTTTCCTCACCTCTCCTCCCCCAAACCTTCCCCCAACCATAGACACCTTGAAGTCCCTCCCGCATCTCTCCCCGCCCCCCCCACTTGGGGTTTCCTCCCCTCCCCTCCCCTCCCCTCCCCTCCCTCCCCTCCCCTCCCCCACAGGGACCACCAAGGACGCCCGGAGCCTCCCTCCTGCACCCCTCCCGCCACACCTCCCCTCCCTCCCGGGCCTCCCCACACCACACACGCTCTCTCCCCTCTCACAGTCACTGACAAAATCACACACGGTCTCCAGACAACAGGCTCTCACAGGAACCCGCCTAACTTGTACTTGCTCACAGCCCTACACACTCCCCGCCTCCCCAAAGCAGTCTCCTCTGTCTCCGTCTCTGTGTCTCTCTGTCTCTGTCCTTGTTTCAAACACACACTCACACGCACTGCGCCCCCGCCCGCTGGCCGCCCAGCCCCGCGCTCACCTCGCCGCTGCACCGTGAAGCACTCCACAGCCCCGTAGTTGTGCCTGCAGTACGTGTCCGCCTTGGCCTGTTTCTGCTCCAGGAGGTCCTTCTGGCTGTTCCAGTACTCGGCGGTCCGCCGGCCCAGCTCGGTCACCGTCCGGTACTCGCCCACGTCGCTGTCGAAGCGCACGTACTCCTCCCCGTTATAGATGTGTCTGGTCATGTACCGCACCCGCTCCGTGCCCTTGGTGAAGTAACAGTAGCTCTTAAACTGGAGCAGGAAATTCTCTGCGGGAGACACCGTCGCTCAGTCAGGCCTCAGCCCCAAGCGGCAGCCGACATTACATTTGTTGAAAATCTTGGTCCCACTGAAATTTATATTTTTTAAGAATCCAGACCCACTGAAGAGCTGTTTTTCCAGGAAAATTAATTTGTTCAGGACCAAGGTTTATTTATTTCTTTGCTTGCCAACCAATTGCAAAGTCATAGTTTATCCTTCACATCATCTTTTTTCTTAATTTCTCTGCCTCTGGTCCACTACTTATCTATAGTAGTAAATTACAGCCACAGACATCTTATTCCTGTTCATGCCTCAACGATTTCATTTTCTAACTTTGTCTCCTAGTTCCAACAATACAAGTAGGCATCAAATTACCACCCTTGGCCAGATGTAGAACTTGTTTCTGTAGTCAAATCTCCTCAGAAGGGGAGAAACTAAGAAGATGATATTCTCATATAGACAGTTTACAAAATAATGAGCAGGTCCCCAGACTTTAAGTAGAGACCATCACCTAGAAATGATGGCAGAAAGAAGGGTACTCTGGGTCAGACCAGGTCTATTTTACTATTCAGAAATTCTCAAGTATCTTATCGACACATAACAACAGCGTTACAAAATAAAAATGTGTGAAGTTACTGCTCACTAGCTTGTATGGTTAGCACTGTTTGTCCAGTTCTTGTCCCCAACTTAAGGTTGCCAGATTTAGCAAATAAAAATACAGGATTCCCAGTGAAATTTCGATTTTGATAAATTACTGTTGTTTATCAGAACTTCAGATTTAACTGAGCATCCTGTATTTAATTTGGCAACCTTAGCCCAACTTGCTAACGTAGCCTCAGAAGGAGGAGGATATTTAGTGCTTCTTCTTTGTATTCTTTAACACATGCCCGTGGCAGGCTGCAGAAGGTGTGAACACATATGGACTTTTCAACTAATAAATGCAGAATGAACGTAAATGTCTCTTTTTTGTCAATAACAACAAAAAAGAGACATTTACATCTTATTTTTTATTTTATTATTTTATTTATTTAACTTTTTATTTTATATAAGAGTATAGCCGATTAACAATTTGTGATAGTTTCAGGTGCACAGCAAAGAGACTCAGCCATACATATACATGTAACCATTCTCCCCCAAACGCCCCTCCCATCCAGGCTGCCACATAACATTGAGCAGAGTTCCCTGTGCTATACAGTAGGTATGTCTCTTTTGTATTGGATCTAGCAGACCTTGCAGCACCCCTCCACACACACACACACACACACACACACACACACACACACACACACACGTCCAAGACACACACTGTGCATATGAACATCAGAAATTTTGTCAGTAATTCAGACACAATCAAGCCACTATCCACTAATGGTGGTTAGAATCCCAAGCTGTAGAATCAGAACTTCTGAATTTGAAGATGAGCTCTTCTACTTACGTCAGTTTTAGGATCCATGAGCCTTTTTTCTTGATCTCCAAAACAGATTTGATGATAGTATATCCCTCACAGTATATATATATATATATATATATATATATATATATATATAATTTTATTTATTTATTTATTTTTGCAGTACGCGGGCCTCTCACTGTTGCGGCCTCTCCCGTTGCGGAGCACAGGCTCCGGATGTGCAGGCTCAGCAGCCATGGCTCACGGGCCTAGCCGCTCTGCGGCATGTGGGATCCTCCCGGACCGGGGCACGAACCCGTGTCCCCTGCATCGGCAGGCGGATTCTCAACCACTGCACCACCAGGGAAGCCCCTCACAGTATATTTTTAAGTGTGAAATTAAAGAGTGGCACTTCCTAGTGCTGATCATATAATAAATACTCAATAAATATATTGACATTTTTATTTTTATAACCCTATGATAGCAAGCTCACAAGATCTTTTTATTCCTTAACTTCCTAAAGCAAGTAATATCTTCATCATCATTTGGCATTGTCTTCAATTAATTTAATTACTACTTACCATTTTGAGCAAATAAGAGCAGAACATTTTATATATAATAATGTGGTATATATAAATCTAACACAAAAGGGGTATGCTGACTTAGAAGAAAGGGAATTTCTATATACTCAGACTTGATAATATAATCTAAGTTCTAGAACTAACAATGTGGCACTGGGCAAATAACTCAAAATTTTTGAATTTTAGATTCCATAGATATATATGTTTTTTTTTAACATCTTTATTGGAGTATAATGGCTTTACAATGGTGTGTTAGTTTCTGCTCTATAACAAAGTGAAACAGTTATACATATACATATATCCCCATATCTCCTCCCTCTTGCGTCTCCCTTCCACCTTCCCTATCCCACCCCTCTAGGTGGTCACAAAGCACAGAGCTGATCTCCCTGTGCTGTGCAGCTGCTTCCCACTATCTATTTTACGTTTGGTAGTGTATATATGTCCATGCTACTCTCTCACTTCGTCCCAGCTTACCCTTCCCCCACCCCGTGTCCTCAAATCCATTCTCTATATCTGCGTCTTTATTCCTGTCCTGCCCCTAGGTTCATAAGAAGCATATATACACTACCAAATGTAAAGTAGATAGCTAGTGAGAAGCAGCTGCATAGCACAGGGAGATAAGCTTGGTGCTTTGTGACCACCTAGAGGGGTGTGATAGGGAAGGTGGGAGGGAGACGCAAGAGGAAGGGGATATGGGGATATATGTATATATATAGCTGATTCACTTTGTTATACAGCAACAACTAACACACCATTGTAAAGCAATTATACTCCAATAAAGATGTTTAAAAAAAAAGATTAGCAATAAATCTTTTTCAGTAAAGTCTGGGCCCTTTTGAAATGACTGTGTCTGTGTTAGACCCTGGGGCAAGGGAATCTGTGCATAAGCCCTTTTAAGGGTGTCTTCTCAGTTTGCCAGTGTCCCACAGGTCTTGTTGGTTCTCAAAGCCAGACGTTTTGGAGGGTTGTCTCTCAGATACAGGTACTAAAAGTTGGATGCCTTGTCGAGGTACAAACACTTTGCTTCTCAGAAAGAAACTCTAGGCCTGTGGGTTCCCTCCCTATTACGGTTGCTGTGTCAGGGTTGGGGTTTATGGCGAGACCTTGTCTCAGCCTCTCCTACCCACCTCCATGTGGCCCTTTTCTTGTCTGCAATGTGAAGTAGCTGCTCAGCTACTTCAGGTCTTTTTCAGAGGAAACTGTTTCATATAGAGCAGTAGATTCAGTGTGTTCATGGGAGGTGAGTTCAGGGTCTTCCTACATGGGCATCTTGGACTGCCTCAACATTTTTTTTTTTTTAATGAAAGGTCCCAAGAGAACTGGAAATATTTTTGTGAATATTAGGGCAGATAAAAGAAGGTAAGTGTAGAAAAGGGAGATAGAGAAGAAACATTTTTTAAATGCAAATGTTTGGGAGAAGGAATAGGACCTGGGGAAAAAGCTGAGCATTGTGTTCTGTGGCCAAGTGCACAGATGGTTCACAGGAAGTAGCACATGTGAGCCATAGAAGGACAATAAGATATGGAGAGTGAACCAAGATGGTGCCATGGGCCAGGATTACCAAAGTCTGGTCAAGAAAAGAAGAAATACCTCAGCAGCAGCATTAAATAGGGATAGTGAATAATGGGAAAATAATGGGAAAACACTGGGGCAAGGCTATTGATTCCCACAGGATATTCTAGGAAAGCTCCTGACCAGAGGCCCAAAATAAGCACATGGCTAACACTAGCCCCTTTGCACTTCATGGACTCCAGCATTTGGTACAGAAGAATGAGGAGATGAGAGATCAATCTCAAGAGGGTCTGAAATAGGTAATTCTATAAAATATCAGAATACAGTTTTCATGAGACTTTTTGTGGATATATTGAGGACTGGGAGAAAGTAGAATAAAGGACATTCAAAACACCCAAAGAGCAAGCATCCAGAAAATCTTTTGTGATTAATAATAAATTATGAAATAAGGAGCACAGAGTATCATCTGGGACATGATCCTGGGACTGGTTAACCCTTGGTCACTAGTCAGTTCATCCTCTCATTTTCTAGGAAGAAATAGTTATCTGTGTCTATGTAGGAGAAATTGTTGGAGCCACATGCTAGGGATAAAAAGATATGTATGATTTAGATCGTACTTTTAAGAAAACTAGAACCCACAATAAAGACAGAAATATAAAATTAAAGTAAAACAATGGTACAAGACCTACAGTAGAAACATCTATAAAAAAACAATCAAAATCCAAATTGATAAAACAAAATAATTAAAACCAAGTAAAAACATAATTTATAATAACAAGGAAGCATTTGTAGAGACGTGAGTTCTGGAGGAAGTGAGACTTAGAGCATAGAGGAAGGGGTTATGTTTCAGGTTGTTTAGAGACATGTGGGGAATAGGAACCACAGTGAAATCATATGTGTAGGGAGGGAGGGAGTGGTCAGGAGGCAGTAGGTGGTGAAGAGTCCTTTTTGACAGAATTGTAATCCTACCTAAATAATGTTGGGCAATATGAGAGAGTGGATATGCAGAGTTAAACTATGCTAGATAAGTCATTGTAAAAATGGTAAAATTACATCTTTTAGAAAGATGGGAATGAGATTAGAAAAAAATATTAACTAGGAAAACTTTCAGCAACCCAAGGTTAGTTATGAGGGGTTGGGCAAAGAGTGTGACAACAAAGTGTGATGACAGTAGGAATAAACAATATAGGACTCCTAGACATGTATAATATAAAAAAAACTGATATTTGATGAATAAGGGAGGAACATGAGATCTTTTAGAAGTATCTTTTCTTTCCTTTTGGAGATAGAAAAATCATCCCTTTTATCAGCCTGTGAGTTGGTTCTTTCCTTCTGAGTGAGACATTTTGGAGAAAGAAAGAGAAAGAGAAAGATTTGCTGGAAAAACCACATCCTTCCTCAGATAACTGTTTGGGGTTTTTTTTCCCTATAACCAATAGGGATAAAGAATGAGGCAGCATCACTTATCTCCAGCGGATACA